CACTCACCTCAGCTTCCCAAAGGCACGGGATTACAGGCTGAGCCACCGAGCCCGGCTTAAAGTTATATTTTATAAACAAAAAATAAATCACCTGTTGTGCCTAATTAGCACCCTCTTATAAAACAGGTAAAGCTTTAAATGCCTAACATCTTCCATAACCTAATAAGATTTAAAAACTGGTGTACGCCTAGTGTATCTGACAGATAGATAAGTTACTGGGTACTCTATATGAACACAGTAAAAAGGAGAATGAATCACTCTCGCCTAGTTTGCTGCATTGTGGTTCTAGTTGTAAGGTGTGGACAATTTGTGCCTTGTAACTGAAACTACAATTTAGTAATTTTGAAGGGTTCTTAACAACTTTGCCCATTTATAATTATAAATAAGTAGGGACAGGGTCATTACACATCCATGTGGTCTGTTCACCCTAAAGGGCTTTGCATCAGACTGTCACAAGCAGAGAAGTGGTTAAAAAGTTTCATATGAGCCGGGCTCGGTGGCTCAGCCTGTAATACTGCGCCTTTGGGAGGCTGAGGCAAGTGGATTGCCTGAGCCTGCGGGTTCGAGACCCGCCTGGGCAACTTGGTGAGACCTCATCTCTACAAAAAATTAGCTGGGCGTAGCAGTGCACGCCTGTAGTTCCAGCTACTTGGAAGGCTGAGGCGGAAGGATCGCCGGAGCCCAGCAGGTCGAGGCTGCGGTGGCCGGGAGCGGCCACTGCACTCCAGTCTGGGTGACAGAGTGAGACTCCAACTCAAAAAAAAAGTTTCATATGTATAACCTATAAAAAAATGAGCTTTTAAATTTTTTTAACCAAAACAAAACAGTTTCAGCATGGAGGGCAGCAGAACCAGAGGACCAAAGAGGCACCCCAATTGGCAGTCGCAATTAGCAACCAAAACTCCAAGTGCCCATCAAAGACCTGGTAAAAACAAACCTGCTAAGGGGATGGTGTCCACTGCTCATGGGTACAACCTGTGGGAACACTAGAAACATAGATGCCCCAAAGAGGCCTAACCCCCTGGACTTTGTCCACCGTATAGGTCAATAAGCCATTGGGAAGCAGGTATATTCTCTTCTGAAGAGAGAAGAGAACACTTGGCTCACAAATAATGGCCACCTATGGAGGCCTGCAAACCTGCTACACTGCCTGGCACTGGCTCATCATCATCCCAACAACCTCCCAGGCAAACCAGGGCACTGGAACCCAAATTAATTTTTTTTTTTTTTTTAGTTGGAG